CAGAGAGAGAGAGAGAGAGAGAGAGAGAGAGAGAGAGAGAGAGAGAGAGAGAGAGATTGATTGTGTCTACTAGCTGAGGGCTGTGGTTTCTGCCCTCAGCTGGCTTAATAGCTGTAGGGAATAAGAGAGAGTTTATAAGTAGCCTAGAGGAAGAAAGAACGGGCTATTTCCCAGCTGAGGGAGTCCAGGAAGACACAGAGGGGGAATATTGGCGTATTAATTTTGCTTTAGAAGATACATAAGATTCAGGCTTGTGGCAATGTAGGGGAGACCGTATAGTCAATGGAAATAATGTGACCAGCCCAAGGACACATCGGTCTTTAGATGGATGTGGAGATCTCAGTGCTAAGAGCCAATGTCCCAAGGATAAGCTTGACCCAGGGCTCAAAAAGCCCTTTTAGTTTTGCTTCTGCATTTTGACTTTATTTTGTTGGCTGTGGAGACTATTCCAGAGTTTTGGCAGAGCTGTGACATGAGCCACACTTTAGTTTTAGGACAAACCATAGTACATAGCACAAGCCGGAAGTGTCCACAGCATGAAGGCTCCAGACAGGAGGAGAGGACATGGGTCCTTGGTGTGACGGGTGTGGAAGGCGGTGAGCGAGCACCCCTGAATGTGTGGCCCAACCAAGAAAGACAGAAGATGACTGTGGGGCTTACCTTGAGTAAAGGGAAAGAAATACTTTGACTTTAGAGGATTTGGAGAGAGGATTGGAGAGGAGGAAAGAAAGCATAGCATCTGGAACTGTATACATCTGGGAATTAATCACATAAGGCCTTGGTTGGAGCCTTAAGAATGGATGGAATTGTGGTAGAGAAGTATTCATGGGGGAACAGAGGGTTAGCCACAGAAATTAGGAGGTAAGTATGGAAAGAAACAATCAGAAAAGAGGGACCATGCCATTGAAGAAACAGGAGCCCAGAAAGAGGAACAAAAGACAGTGGCCTGTGTTCAAGGGTAGGAAGAGTTCCAGGGAATGACAAGCAAGAACGCATTGTGTTTACACACTAGTAGATTGTTACCTGGGACAGAGTCAATTGCAGATGCCAGATTCCAGGGACTTTTGAGGAGCTAGAGACAGTAGGTGTAAATCCAACTCGAAAGCGATTAGGATAGAGGATGAGCTTAGGTTTTTTGTGATGCAATGCTCACCTAGACTGCAGAGAACACGGAAAAAGGATATTGCCCCTAGACAGTCTGAAGCCTGAAGGACTGAGTAGGTGTGGAGTCTCTGTATTGCAGTTTCCAGAGTTGGAGACCGGAAGAGGAGAGTGCCCCTCTTGGGAACAAATCTTAGGAACAAATCGGTTTGTAGTTAAAGATTACTAGTTTGATCGTGGGCATATTTGTCAGTCTTTCCTACGGCATTAGTAGATTGCCTGTGTTTCTTTGGCGCCAACAAAATCTTCCTCCCAAAGTATGGAATGAATCTCTTCATTAGGGATCCAGTGGCCTTGCTGGTTTGGGATCAGTGCCCCGTGTTTGGAGGCTGGGGGCCCAATAGTCTCTCAGGAATCCCATCTGTACCTTTGTGTCTCTTGGTTTTTGAGTCTGCACCTCTGGTTTGCCTTTCCAAGATAGACCATAAAGTTGCTGAACCCCAGTAACTTTATTAGATAAATTGCACTGTAGCCCTGGCTCTCCTGGAACTCACTCTGTACCCCAGGCTGGACTTGAACTCAAAGATCCACCTGCCTCTGCCTCCCAAGTGCTGGGACTAAAGGTGTGCACCACCACAGGGTGTTCACATTTTCTAACCAAAATGGAAAGGATTCTTTTCTTCTGGCTCTTTCAATTTGCTGGTCTTTGGTTCTCGGTAGAAGACGTTTTCCATTGAGGTTCTTTTAAACGCCTACATGCAAACTGAAGTGCACTGAAGCTTTGATGGGGTGTCACCCACAGCTGGAGCAACAGAGGCAAAGAGGGAGACACCAGCCTTAGGTTCACACTTCTCTTAAATGGTGAAAAAAGAAAAACACCATTCAAGGAACATTCAAGGAAATAGATTCCATAAGAAAGCAGGCAAGATCCAGGAAAGAAGAAGGGAGGGAGGGAGGGAGGGAGGGAGGGAGGGAGGGAGGGAGGGAAGGAGGGAGGGAGGGACAGAGAGAGAGAGAAAGGAAGGAAGAAAGAAAGGATGGAAGGAAGGAAGAAAGAAACAAAGAAAGAAACAAAGCAAGCAAGCTAGTTAATCTCTTTTCCTGTAAGACACAGAAATCAATTCCTCTCTAACCAAGATGCATCAGAAGGCAACGTGGCTGATGTTGAACTTACTAGGCAGCCGTCCATCGCTGCAGTCAAGGGGCTGTGAATCACGACCTGTGGCGAGCAGTGAAACAGTGTTGCCCTGTGACGAGCAGTGAAACAGCGTTGCCCTGCCTATGGTGGTTAGGCCTTGTCTTGCTCTATTAAGCAAACACAGTTAATAGAGATGAAAGGTAACCCTGATAGAACTGAAAATTGAAACCAGGGTGGAAGGCAGCGAGCCCCCCACCCCCCACCCCCCTGCAGCTGCTCTGGTACTTCCTCCTGTGCTAGCAGGATCAACACTTCTGATATGTTTTGGAAGAGATGTAGTTTTTTAAAAATATCGTGGGTTTTTTTTTCACAGTGTTTTGGGTTTTTACATCTACCCCAGTAAGAGAAGGGTGTGGAAGAGAGTTGTTAAACAGACACTTAGACTTTTCTGTGTGGGAGTATGGCGTCCAACCCAACCACCTGGTAGTTTAAGTTTAGCATTTATTTATTTATTTATTTATTTATTTATTTAATGTGTATGAATGTTTTGATTGATAGCATGTTTGTAAGCACCTGTGTTCCTGTGAAAGCTAAAAACGGGCTTCAGCTCCCTTGGAGCTGGTGTTGTGGGTGGGGTGAGCCACCATGTAGGTGCTGAGAACCAAACCCAGGTCCTCTGCAAGAGCAGCACGCTTTCGTAACCGCTGAGGTATCTCTCCATCCCCAGCATAGCGTCCTCGTCACACCCGTGCCAGGAATCTGCTGAGGAAAATTAGGAAAATGGCTGACTCATGTCTGCTTCCACATTTCCTGTCTGAGATGGATGGGGGGCAGGAAGGGTTGGATTAACCAATCTCTAAATTCTCTTTTGCTCTAAATTCCATTGATTTGTATTCCTTCATAGAAAATTAAAGCCTCCACTGTTTAAACACACAGCGCTTGAAAGAGTAAGCACCTACACAGCCAACTTTCCATATGAAAGCGCCTTATATGCTGGTCTCCTGAGGCGACTAGAGTTTTGTTTGTTTGTTTTGAGGGGGATAATATATAAACTTGCCTTCTCCATCTCTTCTGTTGTTGTTTGATTTTATTTTCTGAGACAGGATCTCATTCTGTAGCCCACACTGGTCTGAAACTCACTGTATAGAGCAGGCTGGCCTCATATTCACAGAGATCTATCTGCCTCCTTGGCCTCCAGAGTCCTGGCACTGAAGGAGCATGCCACCATGACCAGCCAGCCTTCTCCATGTCTTATGTCCTTCCAGTTGGCAAAGTGTTTGCCACACACACATGAAGACCTGAGTTTGATCTCTAGCACCCAAATAAAGCAGCAGGCATGATGGCAGGCACTTGTAATCCCAGCACGGAGGAGGTGGAGACAAGAGGCTCCCTGGTGTTCATTGGCTGGCCAGACAGCTTGGGAGGATCACTGAACCTCAGGTCCCAGTGAGAGTCAGACCCTGACCCAAAAAACAAGGTGAACAGCTCTTGAGGAGTGACATCTGAATTGATTTACACACACACACACACACACACACACACACACACAATGTAGCATGATAGAAGAGATCACCAAGGAAGTAGAATGTTGCTTACATTTTGTGTTCTGTTCCCCCTGAGTGTCCCCACCTGCAAAGAATGCTCAACACTGCAACAGCCCTTTAAAGAACAGTGTTTAGGGCTGGTGAGATGGCTCAGTGGTTAAGAGCACTGACTGCTCTCTCAGAGGTCCTGAGTTCAACTCCCAGCAACCACATGGCGGCTCATAACCATCTGTAATGGGATCTGATGCCCTCTTCTGGTGTGTCTGAAGAACAGTGTTTAGTCATCCAACATACTTAGGTCAGGTGAGTCCCTCCTCTCAAGTCTAGCCCTATTTAATCTAGGGTCTTGAGTTTAGCCTTACTTAGGTTAGGTCTAGATGTCTCAGATCAATTAGAAGCGGGTCCTCGGGTTGAGTAAAGCGTCACTTCCTTTGTCTGTCTCAACACTGTTCAGCACCAGCTTTCCTCCACTTTCAATGACTTCTATGTCTTTTCCAAGACAGAGATAAGAGAATCTCCCCACAGCTCATGCATAAGGATCAAGGCAAAGCCTGGCTTCAACTCAGGAAAAAACAAAAGGCTTCAAATCTTCAACTCTCAGTATTCGTGGTCTGCATGAAGACCTTTGTAGCATCAACATGATAGATTCATCTTGAAACCAAAGGCCAGAGCCCACTGCCTTTTTAACTGTGGCCACCAAAAAAAGATCCGAGAACCCTTTTTCTCTCCAAGGATGAGGGACTGGTTGTTCAGAATGTTTAATTTATGGTCTCTTTGTATGGTCACACCTAAAACTTGTCTCTAATCTTCTGGACAGCCTAGGATTCTGCCATTTTATGTGTGTATGTTGGGAGGTGTGTGTGTGTATGTGTGTGTGTGCGTGTGTGTGTGTACATGTGCTCAGATGTGCATGTGTTTACACTTGTGTGTCCAAGTGTGTGCATTTATGTATGCATGTGCATACATTTGTGTGTGCTTGTGTGTGCATGTGTATGTGCTTTTGTAAATGTGTACATGTCTTTAGGCTGCTCTAACTGTGGTTCTGAATTCAGACAGTGAATGGTCACCCTCACACACAGCGCTCCCCTGTTTTGATTGTATGCAGCATTCCATGAGCTTCCTCCGTCCTTAATTGTCAGTTGTGGGTCTCTTTTCTGAGCCACTTCTCAACTTCAAATACAGTCATCGTCCATTTCTTGCACTTCTGTCCCCTGTAGAAGATTCGATAAAAGTGAAAGACGAATACAGCGACAGGGATGAGAACATTCTGAAGCCGGAGCCCATGGGAGACTCGGAAGAGAGTGAAATGCCTTACAGCTATGCAAGAGAATACAGCGACTATGAAAACATTAAGCTAGAGAGACACACGTCGTACGACAGCAGCAGACCGAGCGGCGGGAAGATGAACTGCGACGTGTGTGGATTATCCTGCATCAGCTTCAACGTCTTGATGGTTCATAAGCGAAGCCATACCGGTAAACAGTCTTCTCCGTCTGTTCTCAAAACCGTCCCCATGCAGCCCTGTGAGGAGCGAAGTGGCGGAATGTGGGTCTTTCTTTAGATTCCTCCATTGCTGTCTGCTATAATGTTGATGCCTCTCTTTGCATTGGCAGTTCACCCAGTGGCTCCTGTTAGTGCTTCACTATGCATTTGGCAAATACTGTGGATGAAAGGAGAGGAGCGAAGGCCTTGAGAAAGGGCACACACCTTTAAACCCGGCGTGCAGGCGTCAGAGGCAAGCCATCTCTGAGTAAGAGGCTAGCTTGATCTGCATAGTGAGTTCCAGGACAGCCAGGGCTACATTGCAAGACTCTAGAGAGACAGACAGACAGACAGAGACACAGAGACACAGAGATAGAGACAGAGAGCTAGAGAAACAGAGGGACAGGGAGAGATAGACATACACTCAGAGACACAGAGAGAGGGACAGAGAGCTAGAGAGAAACAGAGAGACAGGGAGAGATAGAGAGACACAGAGAGACAGAGACAGGGAGAGGCAGAGAAAGATTGAGAATAGCCATCTAGTTTAGCCAAATGGTTCTGCTCAGTCAGTGAGCAGGAGCTGAACTGTATGCTTTGCTTCTGAGAAGTCTTCCAAGTGTTTTCACAAGGCACATCTAAAAACGCAGGCCCTCTTACTATGGATAAAATGATATGAGTTTAATTTTCAGCCTTAAAGACATCTTTGTATGGTAAGCAAGGATCCATAGGAAAGCCCATGAACTAATCACACTGAGTCTCACACTGAGTCAGTAGCTTCCAGATGATGCAGAGACTCTAAAACGGCCGGCTGGTGCCTTGACACCTTGTTACACATCTTGCATCTAAGCGTGCTTCAGTGACTCAGTCCGCATACTCAGGAGGTTGCAGCAGGAGGACCTTCATGAGTTCCATGCCATCCTAGACTACAGGAAAAAAAAAAACTGTCAAAAAAAAAAAAAAAGTAAAAACCACCAAACAAAACAAAGGCTTTGATCCCAGCACCAGCACACGGAGACAGAGGCAGGCAGATCTCTGTGAGTTTGGGGCTAACCTGGTCTATATAGTGAGTTCCAAGCCAGGGCTACATAGTGAGGCCTGGTCTCCAAAGTATGAAAATGAAGGCTTGAATCTGTGAGTCTTTTTTTCAAAGGCAACTTCATTCAGAGGCCAAGAACTGGAGAAACCTCTAGAAAGTTCCTGAAGCTGTTTGTGTTCCTTGGCACTGACTCAGAGCAAGGTGGCAACTGCTCTCAGAAGAGTTGGTCTGAGTGGGAGTGTTCATTCTTCAAGGAGGAAGCTCCCACAAGTCTCTTTATCAGAAGAATGAAGCTCCCAAGTGATCTGTGTCACTGTGGGGAGAGGTGCCCAGGGATGGGCTTTTACCCTAGGCTTCTAATCTGTGCACCCGCCTTCCACTTACCTTGTGATCAGCGATCTCCTTTCTCGTCCTTTCTGAAGGTGAACGCCCGTTCCAGTGTAATCAGTGCGGGGCATCTTTTACTCAGAAAGGTAACCTCCTCCGCCACATTAAGCTGCACACGGGGGAGAAACCTTTCAAGTGTCATCTCTGCAACTACGCATGCCAAAGGAGAGACGCGCTCACGGGACACCTTAGGACACATTCTGGTAAGTGAGGGACATGAATATCTCATACCCAGTGACCATGGAAACGAAAGAGTTGAGTGTGGAGGCCTCCATCTGTCACCTCCCCCTCCTCTGAAGGGTTGCATCAGCACAGACCTCTAGGGCTAACTGCACTTCCATTAAGGCATTAATTGCTCTCCGTCTGCCTCACTGGAAACCATTCCCTCACCAGCCTCGTGTCTGGAGAACAGCAGCAGTCAAACAAATTACCACGCCTTTGTCATTTTTTGTGAGAAAAATTGTGGCCATCAGTATTTTTTATGGTAAACTAATTGTTAAGGAATTGTTTTCTTAATTTGCACACACACACACACACACACACAATTTTCCAAGTTTTCATTCAGAAACTACACATGAAAATTATGTACAGTTTGTAAATTATTATAAAATATAAATGGGGATAGTGGGGTTGAAGAGATGACACCGTGGTTAAAAGCACAGATTGCTTTTCCAGAGGGCCAGAATTCCGTGTTGCCATATCTGTTGCCTCATAGCCAACTTCAGCTCCATCTCCAGGGGGTCCAACAGCTCTGGTTACCACAAATGCTTGTTCTCACTGGTATATACTCCAACAATAGACACCACATCATTATAAATTTTAAAAAAAGAAAAGAAAAACTGTAATTCAGATATAAATTGCTATTTGAGGTTCATTTTGGTGGATCTGGGCTAAATTTCTTATTCATTTTGTCTTACTTTTTGACCTAGGAGCTCTACTTTGTAGTCCTGGTTGGACTGGAACTCACTATATAGACCAGGCTAGCCTCAATGTTGTAGTCATCTTCCTGCCTTACCTTCGGGGTGCTATAATCTCAGGCGTGCACCACCCTACTCAGCTTCTGGCTGAATTCCCTCACACACACACACACACACACACACACACACACCCACACACACCCACACACACACACACACACACACACACACACACACATCTCGGCCTGATTATTTTTAAGCTCTACGAGCAGCCTTGAGAATTCTTAAAAAGCCACATGCTGCCTTGATCTTGTCGCTCCTTATTTTGAACAAGCAAGATGACACTTTAAAAAAAAAACCATTTAGAATTTCCCTCTTAGAAAAATAAGGTTAGTCTTATTTTCAAAATCAGGACCTCATGTTCTTGATGTTATCTGTCAAAATTTTAATTTGAGAGAGAAGGAGGTTTGTTTTTATGTCAGGCCATGTTACTGCTTTGACTAAACCCCAGCCCTGTCTCAAAGCTACTCCAATTCAGAGGAAGATTAAACAAGCCAACCTCAGCAAAACCCACGACAGATCATATGTGGCAAAAAGGGTTTCTCTCTCTCTCTCTCTCTCTCTCTCTCTCTCTCTCTCTCTCTCTCTCTCCGTCCCCCCCCCCCACTTTAGCTCATTTGTCAATGTAACAAATTAGCAATGGGTATGATGGGGAAACAAAAAACAAAAATAAGATTTCTCTCCCATTGCCCTCTTTCAAGCGTAAACCCAGCAGGTCTTTTGAGACAGATTCCAGAGCACCCAAGTTGTGCAGAAATGAAACATTTTTCGCCATTGCAAACCTGTGCTTTACTTTGATTTGGGACTTCATAAGGATCCTTTGAGGATGCTTTTACTTCCAAAGTAAGAGGAATTAGAAAATAAAACATTTCGTGACAGAGCCGGTGACTCAGTGGTAGCATCGAGGCCTAGCACACACAAGGCTCCAGGCTTGATCCCTCATAAATCAAAAACAAAAGGGGAAAAACCCATTTCAGTCTCTAAAACACCGACTTTTTTAGGTTATGTTTTATCAGTAGAGCAGAAAAAAATAACCTTGCAAAGAGAGTTGAAAGTATTGCTTTCCTATGGATAAACCTATGGGGAAACTTTTGATTTGTTTTAGAAAATTAGTTGAAGTCATTTTTGCAATTTGTTCTTTCATTTGTTTGTTTCAAGACAGGGTCTCACTTTGTAGACCAGGCTGACCTCGAACCCACAGAGATCTGCCTGCCTCTGCCTCCCTGGTGCTGGGATGTGCCACTATGCCTGGCTATTGCAATTAATTCTTAATTCTATTATTAAAAATATTCCTTATTAATCAGCCGTGTTTTGGCTGTACTCGTTCAAAGCCACTTAATCAGAATGGCCTGCACACTCCAAACATGTGGATGTTAGATGTGTCTCTAGCCTGATCCCAATGCCCACACACCACCTAGTTCCTTGCTTAAAGTTAGACATCACAAAACAGGAAGGATACCTTCCCATTCCGATTAATTTTATGGGAGTGCGCATTTTCTCTGCATGCTTGTGCCTACGGAGGTCAGAAAAGGGCATCCCTGGAGCTGGACTTACTCCAGATGGTGATGAACTGCCAGGTGTGTGCTGGGAATCAGACCCAGATCTTCTCTGAAAGCAACAAGCACTGTAACCACCCAACCGCCCCAGTAGTAAGTACTCTTAACTGCTGAACCCTTGTTCCAGGTCTCAAATAAATTGCTTTGTTTTGGTTTTGAGACAGGGCCTCACTATAGAGACCAGGTTGACATCAAACTCACAAAGAGCCTCCTGTGTCTGCTGGGACTAAAGACGTTGTCACCACATCTGGACGCATTGCGTTTTGTACCACATGACCCATCTTGAAGAACAAATGACCTGGTTTCTGTCTTCCTTCCTTCCTTCCTTCTTCCTTCCTTCCTTCCTTCCTTCCTTCCTTCCTTCCTTCCTTCCTTCCTTTCCTCCTTTTTCTTTCTTTCTTTCTTTCTTTCTTTCTTTCTTTCTTTCTTTCTTTCTCTCTTTCTTTCTTTCTTTCTTTCTTTCTTTCTTTCTTTCTTTCTTCCCCCCTCCTCCTCCTCTTCTTCCTCCTCTTTTTCCTTTAATGCTTAACTCTAGAGCCCCTAGAACTAGGGTTACAGCTGATGTGAACCACCCCACATGGGTGCTGTGAACCAAAGCTCAGACCTCGGGGAGAGCACCCAGTGCTCTTAACCGCTGAACCATCCAGCCTTCAGGACCTGTTTGTGTTAATCAAAAAGACACGAGATTTAACCTGAGGCTAGGCACTAAATAAAACAGCGTTCACTCACTCCAGATCCTTCCATCTGCAGAAGGCCGTCCTTTTCAATATGCTGCTGTGACAGTGGACTGTATGTAGCCTTGTTTCAGCTTAACAGATGTGACAGCAACATAGACTTGGAGGTGTGGGTCTCGCCAGGCCAGCAGTATGGAGGGTCCCTGAGCACCCTATGTCTTCCTTCCAGTGGAGAAGCCCTATAAGTGTGAGTTCTGTGGAAGAAGCTACAAGCAGAGAAGCTCTCTGGAGGAGCACAAGGAACGCTGTCGCGCTTTTCTTCAGAATCCTGACTTGGGAGACGCCGGTGAGTTGCACAGTGCTGGGTCGCCGGACTTGTCTGCTCTCCTAGGTGGTGAAGACCAATTCTAGACAGAACAAAGAAGCAGGGTGGAAAGATCCCGGGTGCTATGGAGGAAAACAGAGTACAGAGTAAGGGTGAGCCAGGGAAGCTGTCAACCACGGAGCAGTTTAATGGACTTAGAGGCATGGCAATGAGCCCCACAGGTCGCTGCGGGGCTAGCACATACAAAGGTCCTGAGGCTCAACTAGAAGAAATGTAAACATAGCCCTGTGTGACTGGAACAGCATGAGTGATGGAACGTGAAGCCAGAGGGGAGAAGGGAAACCAGATCTTATCAGGCCTTGTAGGCTATCGTCAGGACCTTTGAGAGAAACTGAAAACCTTTGAACACGGACAGGTGATGTCACAGGATTTCTCCTTTGAAAGCCATCTTCTCACTTCGTTCATGAAAGTAGATTGTGCTGAGGTCAAGGCTGGATAAATCTGGGGGAATCCAGCTAGGAATCTGTGGCAAGAATTCAAGCCAAAGGAAACTGTCTTGGCATTGACAGGGATGATGGTGTTCCAATTCTGTAAACACATTTCAAAGGTAGAGCCAGGGCAGAGCCAGCAGGATTTCCTAACAGTGTTGGAATGGCAGTATTGGAGCGTGCCACAGCCTGGGGAGTGGTTCGTGAAGAACCGGTTAAAATGTGCAAGAATTTTCTTTACTCAGGGCCTGAAGGCGTTGTCTTTTGTCTGCGCCTGTGACTGACTGTGATGTCTGTGCTTGGCTTTGATGGGTTTCCTGTTTTCTCCAGGGATTTGAAGTGTATGCCTCTTGACCACAGGTTGAAACAATCTTCGTCTCCTCCATGTCCAGGGTGGCTTTATTTCCTTCTCTTCTTCTACTTGCATCAGCCTAAGCCTTTCTTGTATGGCATCTCTGGCAGTCATCCTTCCTTCTATCTGTTTGGCCTTCAACCCAATTCTTCAGTGTGGGCTCGGGATTTGGTTGTTCAGTTATGAGAACCAAGAGCTTGTTTAGTCCGGGGAGCAGTCCTCGTGGGCATTGGTATCTGACAGCTGTAACTGCACTGGAACACTTTGAGTGGCCTGAAGCAGGGTGATTACAGTGTGACAGAGCAAAATGTAGGAGTTAGGAAAAGCAGAGTGCAGCCGGGCGGTGGTGGCGCACGCCTTTAATCCCAGCACTTGGGAGGCAGAGGCAGGTGGATTTCTGAGTTCGAGGCCAGCCTAGTCTACAGAGTGAGTTCCAGGACAGCCTGGTCTACAGAGTGAGTTCCAGGACAGCCAGGACTACACAGAGAAACCCTGTCTCGGAAAAAAAAAAAAATAGCAGAGTGGAAACCCTGAGTGCTCACCCTGTGAAGTGGAGAGAAACTGAGTTTTAGTCAAAGCTCGTTTCCTGATTTAGGCGCCAGGCACCAAAGGCCCTTGGTATATGCTTACCTCCACATCTCATTCCAGTGGCATCACTGGTTTTACCAAGGACTCTTATATCCGTCTTGTTTCTGGAAAGAGCTGCTTGCTCTTTTAATAAAAACAGCTGAAGCTTGGTGTTCCGCCATCTTTGGTGGCGTGCTTAGTAGTGAGTTTAGTGTTTGTCTACAAAAGAAACATCTCACCCTGTGTTCTCGACTTAGAGGTGGGAAGACAAAGACTTGTCAAAATCCACTCACTAACTTAGAAACCACTAGAACTTTAGCTTGCTTATTTAGTTTGTGTGTGTGTGCACTCAATGTGTGTGTACATGTGCAAGCATGCATATGTCTAGCTATAGTTTTTGTTTTAATAGTCCACCTTAGGGTGGAGTTCATACCTATTTGTAGCTGAAAAAGAATCCATGTATGAATTTACCACAGTCTGCTTTTTTATTCATTGATTAATAGATATTGAATTTACTTTCCACTTTGGGGAATAATAAGTTATATTTTTAGTGATCTTATATTATCTGATAGCAAAAGAAATAAAGTAACACATACTGAATAGATACATACACATACTAGTGTGTGTGTGTATGTGTATGCGTGTGAGTGTATGTGCATGTGTATATATGTGTATATATGTGTGAGTGTGTATATGCGTGTATGTCTATATGTATAAATTGTGTGTATATATATGTGTGTATATGTATAAATGTGTGTGTGTGTGTGTGTCCTGATTCTCCTGGAAAGAGGAGGAGGACCAGAAAGTTCTCTTTCACTTTCATACACAATATATTTGTAGTGATTATTTGTAAAGTAACTTTTATTTTGAATCCCCATGCCATTTTAATAATTTGAAGTTTTAAAAGTTACCAAAAGAAGTATTTAGACCGTTCAGAGGTGCTGGACGGTTTGGGAGGGGCCAAGCTGCAGACTGAGCTGATTTGTATTCATAGGGGTGTTGGTTGGATGCATGCAGCATAGTCTCAGCAAAAAAGTAAAGGGCTAGCCAAATCAGCAAGTTTTGATTTGATTTTTGTTTTGGTTTGTTTTGGTTTTTGAGATGTGGCCGGCCTCTCTATGTAAGTCTGGTTGGCCTTGAACCTGCAGAGGCCTTGTAGCCCTGGCTGCCTTGAACCTGCAGAAATCCACCTGCCTATGCTTTCTGGACACTGAGATTAGCTGAGGTGTGCACCACCATGCCTGGCTTTGATATTTTTAAGTTACATAATGGGTAAAGTCGCAGCTTAAGCAAGTATAAATACCACATGCCAGAACTATATGACTGAATCTCTTAGGTCTTAAATAGTGTCCATACTTTTTTTTTCTCTGAGATTCAAATGTGAAGACTTTCTGATCCAATCCAAGCCAACCCCTTATTGATACCATTGGTTTCCCATTTCTATTCCTTCCTGTAACTAGGAGTCCAGTGTGAATACCGTGTTCTATCCCAAGTCTGACCAATGCAGTACAGTTTTTCTACTATCTGCCTCCACCTCTCTCCATGCTGGGATGACAAGCATGTACCACCATGCCCAGTGTGATGTGGTAGTGTGACGTAGCAAAGGAAGCCTCGGCTTTGTGCAGGCTACACAACCAAGCGCGGAGTGTGGCAACAGCACTCGGGTACCCAGGATGCTGAGGCAGGATGATTCTGACTTGGAGGGTAGGAGAGCAAGGCCCCATCTCAAAAGAAAGAGAAGTTAAGTAATCTAACTCTCGGCGGAGTTGTGAGAGGTGAGCTGGGGACAGAGCCGCCCAGCCTGGGAAGCAGACAGATAACGACCTCAGAGCAAAGAGCAGCCTCTGAAAGAATATCAGTGTGAAGCGATGGGACCTCTAGATATCTATGCTTTTATTCAGACACAGCTGGTTCAATTTTGTGTGCGCCCCAGCCTGTGTCAGGACTGTTTGCAAGGACGAGGAAAGCTAAGTGCCTACCCCTGAAGAACTCACGGTCCACTGAGGCAGTGTGCTAACGGAGACACGAGAGGTATTGCAAGTTCAGCCCAAGTCTGTGCAGGTGCCATGGGTGACATCATCACAGTTTCTACCTGATGGAGTCTAGGTGACCAGAAGGAGTGATAGATGACTTCTTCTCCATGTCATCTTGGTCTTCCTGATGTCCATGTGGGCTCATTTCACACAGACTATACTTGTATCCACTTTTTTTGTGTGAGTAATCGTTCGGGCAATAATAAACCTTTTCGTTTGCAGTGCTGAAACTCAAACCAGGGCCTTGTATATTCTAGACAGGCACTCTACCGCTTGTGATAATAACATCTATGAAGTAATTGACTAAAACCTGGTGTGACAGCGCATACTTTTGATCCCAGCCCTCGAGAGGCAAGGGCAAGAGGATCTCTGTGAGTTCGAAGCCAGCTTGGTCTACAATGTAGATTCTACACAGTTACATAGAGAGACCTTGTCAGAAAGAAAAACCCTAAGGTGACCAATGAGTTATGTTTATTTGTGTGTCTGGGAGTTAACATTTCTCTACTTTCTGCTTGTCTGAGTTGAGCTAATGCAAGCACAAGGGTTTCAGGATGAAGTTACATTTTTTAGCAAGGTAACACACTTTTTCTTCTAAAAGTTTTTTTTCTTTTTCTTTTCTTTTCTTTCTTTTTTTTTTTAATCAAGTCTGTTTCCCTAACAGTCTTCACGATACTTGCTCCACAGGGCAGCAGTTCCGTGTCACTTTTTGTGTTTGAACCTGCCTTGTCTCTGATAGCGATCTGTTGCTAGACAATCTTGTTGCACAATGACTCTGCTGGCTCCCGTCTCTATTAGCTGCTGACCACACCAGAGGAGAGACAGGAAGCAGTGACTGGGTTAAGCTTCATTTAACACTTTGAGCCCTAAGGAAGGATTTTGAAAAAAAAAAAAAAAAGTAAAACACCATCACGTAGTCAAAGCTACAATTACTTGAGATTTAAAAAAAAAAAAAATCCCTTATGGAAGCAATTAATAGCTAAGGCACATGCAGGGATTAAAGACGGTGGGATACTTCTGAGATTGTGATTTTCATGACATTTTGTTATTTTTCCAATATGTCTTTACAATCTGTTGCTAATAAAAGTTGACGTTACCTACTATGTAGTAGACAAATGATGTAAAGGGAAATTGATCCAGAATAGCAGTCCCTCCCCTTTGCCCACTCAGGAACCAAATGTGCCAGTGTTGCCCATCTCCACCCTGGCAACATTCAACTGACTAATAGCACCCAGGAACGGATTTCCTATTTCATCATTTAAACTTATATCTTCTTCCCTTACTATCTTGCCAAACTTGTTTTCCTCCATTTACATTTCTGAGACTTGGTGTAGCAAGATAACAAGTCTAAAATGCATGAATAGACAGTTGAGTGGTAAAGGTGGAGGGAAGACCAGGAGAGAAGGCTTCTCTTTTGCCTTTTCAGTATACCTCCTAAACAATTCCTGAGCTCAGCTGACACTGACATCTGACTTCGTGTTTAAAAGGTGGCTTTTCAGTGCTTTTATTCATCAGCTGTCTGACAGGTCAGGAAGTAGAAAGGCAGGGGGTCTAGGGAAAAAAAATAAGAGTGTACCCTATGTTGTTGCCATTAGCCTTTGTCCATTTGGCAGTTAGAAAACACTTAAGTCTGTGGAGTTAATCTCAGCCCCTGAAGGGTGTTTCCCGGTGGTTGGGAGAGCTGGGATCTGAGAGTCAGTGAATGACAGATCTGGGAAGACTGCAGTGAACGAGAATCTGCCTCTTGATTTCTTGCAGGAGGTACTTCTGGGAAAATAAAATAGGAATAAATAGGGAAGCCTCATGCCTCAGATTCTCTTTCCATCCGTGAACACTCCTGAATGTTACTTTTTTTTTTTTAAATGTCAGCCATTTGGTCACTGATTGCCATGTTGAGAGTTATCTGGAAATGACTGTTAGAGACCAGCTTGGTGGGTAACGAGGGATGAGAAAGGCGATGTTATCTCAGAAGGCTGCCATTTAGTGACATGCCCTAATTACAGTCATTTAGGTCAACGTGTCCACGCAGCGGCATCCTCCCAGACCCGGAGAGGATGTCGATTGCGTGTGCCCACAAACCTGCTGATGCTGATGCTGACTTTGGTAAAGCGTGAGCAGCGTCTCCTGAAAGATAAGTGGGAAGCCGAGGCGCTGCGCTTGGGCTAGGTCCTAGGTCACAGCGTGCCCACGAAGGGAGGGACCGCAGAGGACAGAACTCAGTGGTAAAATGGGGTCAAAAGTAAAAATTCCCTAAGTGTTTTCAACGTCATTTCAATCTAAATCATTTCAATAGGAGATACAAGAGTGGAGGCTCTCATCCTCTCCGAATGGCACCCCTATAGTACAGACGTGGCTCCCCTGTTTCTAAGAGAAAGGGAGAGCAAAGAAAGGATCCCCTGTACTGGGAACTGACTTCGAATTCCAGGCTCTGCCTTTCATCTCTCTACTCAAGGGGTTTTGGGTAGCGCCACATCTGGTGGTGGTTTGTGTGAACGGAAATAATACGTGTGATCGTTTCCTGTTTGGTCATTTTAACCTGTCCCTGGACTGAACAGAATTTGACCCACTTCACTCGGCAGCAGGGTTCTGTCTACAAGTACCAGAGTCCGAAGACCTTACAGAGTCTGAACGCTGCCCACGCCCCTGGCCCTGAGCATAGTGGGTTCATTTACATAAATCCTGTTGACAGCTGGAGCAGAACTCAGGATATGTGTCTTCAGAGTCAAGAGTTATTTTTGATAAGAGCCAAAAGTCAAGTGATGTTGGCATTGTCTCTACACTTTGGCTTTTCTTTTCTTTCTTTCTTTCTTTTTTTTTTTTTTTTTTACTTTTGAAGACAGATTTTCTTTTATTACTGACTTTAAAAACCACACAAAGTTTTATATTGTATCGCACCTGAAATAGAGTTCTTTTGATGATGGTACTAAGGCAGAAAATAAATAATCCTTGGAATGATCATCTTTCAATCTGGCATTGACTCTCTCTGGCCCAGACTGATTGTCCTACCCTGAAGATCTTTCTCTGTCAGTCATTTTCTGCTACAGTAGCCGTGGTCATGTGTCTGACAGACCATGGAATGTGGGGCAATTCTCTGTGCTGGAATCTCTTCGCACAGCAAATGCCTCAGACTCTTCTGTTACAGGGCAAGTGCTGACTGTTCCCAAAACTGCCCTAGGCTTATCTCATTCTGTAAGCTAGCATTTGCTTTTTAAATCTAGTTCCTTAAACTAATTACGTTTTCTTCTTCCTTAGTTACGTTAGAAATGTATGGATATTTAGTTTAGACCTTCTGACGTGCTCAGATAAAACAGAGACACGTTCATAGCATCAGTTCATAGTGTTTGCTAGAGCAGGCATGCATACACCGTGGCCCTCGAGCTAAGTACAGCCAGCAATCTGTCTGTGCACAGGGATTTTACCATTTACTTATTGTATATGTGTGTGTGCGTGTGGTATATGAACGTGTCCATGTTTGCCTGTGTACGGTGTGCCTGGAGGCCAGAAGTTGGCTTTGAATGTCTTTCTCAATCACTGTCCACCTTATTTCTTGAGACAGGGTCTCTCTCATGGGCTTGCAGATTCTGCTAGATTGCATGGCCAGTGAGCCTTTAGAATCCTGATGGCCCTGTTTCCCTGGTGCTGGGATTACAGGCCTGTGCCACAGCACTGGTGTTGTCGGTGGTACTCAGGTTCTCTAGCTTCGATAACAAACATGTCACTGCCTGAGCCACTCCCCAGCCTGATTCTTACATTTTTAAAGAGCTGTAGAGTAGGAAACATGAATATAGAAAGAGACCATATATAGCCCACAAATTTTAGAAATATTTACAACCAACATGGGCATAGAAATGTGCATGTGTAATCCCAGGATTTGAGAGGTTGCAGCAAGAGGATCATACATTTGAGGCCAGCCTTGGGGCTGTGTAACAGAAAGACCCCTGACTCAAAAATAATAATGATAACAAATAATCATACATAGTATTTTTACTCTTTGGGTTTTTTTTTTTTTACTGAAATAATTTATTGATCCTTGAGCCAGCCCAGCATTATAAAATCTTAGGCCTTATACTTATAGCAGCTAGTGAGTCTATACTTTTGAGCCGTGATGTCTTGCTGCTGGCTCTACCAGAGTCAATTGTATTTGTCCCATGTCACTCTTCAGTATATTGGCACTCTTTTTATATTCCTCTAGTGGACTGAAATTCTAGCTCCTCTCCCTCCCCAGAGTTCCACATGGTAGTCTAGGATGGCCTACAAATTACTTGCATAGCCCAGGCTAGTCTCAAACTTATGACAATCCCCTTGCCTCAGTCTCCCAAGCATTGGGATCACAGGTGTGAGCCACAGTCTCCTGTTGCAGCTGCCTTTCAAAATCATCTAGCGAGCTTTGAAAGCCAGTCCTGGCCCCTCTGCAGGGTAGAAGGGAACCTTCCTATAGATATGTCTCATGTGTATCTAAGGCAATTAGGCAATACTGCTTTGCAGCCGGGCCGACCCACGCTAGTCTGTGCCACTCTGATGTCCAGTTGATCATTAATCCACAGTCTCAGGCAGTTCCTATTCTCCTGTTTCACTAGAAATATAATGGAAATATAGCATACAGACTGCTCTTTAATTTCAAGATAGCAGCGTGGCTCAGAGACACTTTCATGGAAACAATTTTCAGATGTGAAGAACATACGAAGCAACACACAGAACCCAGAGAAACGGAATGTGAAAGATAAGGGACAGAGAGAAACGTAGTAAAGAAAAAAATGACTCAGTATTTCAATACCCAAATCACTGAGTAGATTTCTTGCTATCTGGGTGAGTGTATCTATTTTCAAAAGTGCTATTAGCATAAACAGAGCAGTAAATCTGGGGCACCGTGCCTTTTTTTTTTTTTTTTAGAAGTTGTTAAGAAGAATTATATTAGTGTGCAGGTGTCAGGCGCAGTTACTCAGAATCTGAAAGGCCGATGGGGGTTAGGAGACCTCCATCTATCTATCTTTTTGCAACCAACCACGTCCACGCTGTTTCTTCAACACTTCCTCTTGCTAATGAAGGTACTTAGCTGGGGATGGGCCGGGCTTTCCCATCTCAGCACAAGACTGCAAGATTTGAATGCCCCCCTGAACCGGCCTCACTGACCACAGCAGGTACCGGGGGCAGAAATTTGAGAAGGAAGAACAGGTAATGGCAGCGTCGTGCATCAGACCGGACACTTCTTCCCACCTGTTTCCCATCCATCCATTTACCAGTGTGTTCTTCTCCCTCTTCTTCCAAACCAGCAAGTGTGGAGGCAAGACACATCAAAGCAGAGATGGGAAGTGAAAGAGCTCTCGTCCTGGACAGATTAGCAAGCAACGTGGCTAAACGAAAAAGCTCAATGCCTCAGAAGTTCATTGGTAAGAATGCACGGCCCTTTCTTGCTTCTGACAGCAGATACCTTAAATAAGATAACACAGAGATGTTTCCTACCCATGCTTGCCTAGAGCAGTCTGTTAAAACAAGGTTTCTTATTCTGTATGGCTGGTTCATTTTGATAGCTGTAGTATATAGATTTTTTTAAAAAATTAACTCAGAAGCCTTAGCTACAGAACAGGGGAGCATTTGGTGTTGTTTCTTAAATGTAGTTGATGTTTAAAATGTTGTCCCTTCCTCTTCCCTCTGAATGACATCTGATTTATGCAACTTACACCAGTAAAATGTCCAAGATAGCATCTGGTAAAATTTTGCAATGGTATGTTACAAGTTGGTTCTGTTAGCATGCTCTAACCTTTTTTCTTTTTAATGTTCTAAAGCATATCGCCATATTCTCTTGAATTTGATTGAGAGCTGGCTTTAACAGAAAGTTGATGGAGGAAAAACATGGATTTAAATAACTCAGTTTGACTTGACGCTGTCTTACTGAAGTTAGTTTTTGTGTCATTGGTTTTCACATTGTCAAAAGCCACCACGGAGTGGAATGACAAGTGTTGGGATTTACAAACGGTGGGGCTATTTCTTTATTTCCCCAGATGTTTACATACGTGTGACCATAGTATTTAAAATAGATTTGTAGTTGGGAATTAAGCAGCTGAGTTGAATGTGTCAGTTATTTTAAGTTGAAAGTTGGTGATGTTGAACAAAAATAGTTATCACATTAAGAAAACTCTTCCTCATCACCGATAATATTTTAAAATTTGTCAATACCTTTTTGTAAAGCTGCTTGCTGCTTCTAACTTTAACCTTCTTGTATTTATTGATTTTAGTGGCTTTTACACATACCAAGTGCCTGTCTACTTTTGTTTTGTTTTGCTTTGCTTTGCTTTTTGTCTTTTTAAGACAGGGTTTCTCTGTGTAGCCCTAACTCAGAGATCTGACTGCCTCTGCCTCCTCCTCAAATTGCTGGGATTACAGGCATGTGCCAGCACCTCCTGGTTTGCTTATCTACTTTTAACTTGAAGATTTTTTGGCCCTAAGTAACACTTTATAAGTAGACTTTCAATTGAATTATATATTGAAAGAACCCATAGATTTTGAAATCACTGAAGTTGGTATTTCTGCTTATTTATTTTATTGTTATTAGCTGGATATAGTCTGTGTGCTTTTTGTCACTTCAGTAACAAATTGTAGCACACGCCTTTAATCTCAGCACTCACAAGTCAGAGACCAGTAGATCTCAGTGAGTTTGAGACCACCCTGGTCTACATAGTAAGTTCCAGGCCAGCCAGGGCTATAGAGAGAAACTCCCAAGGGTATGGTGGATTGTTTCTACATTCTCAGCTCTTAGGAGGTAGATGTCAGAGCATCAGGAGTTCAAGGCTATCCTCACCACATAGTGAGTTTGGGGCCAGGCTGGGCTATATGAGAAATCCTGTCTTTAAGAAAAAAATTAGTCAGTCAATCAGTCAGTCAGTCAGTCAGTCAGTCAGCAGTGAACCCATCAATAAATCCTGTCAGGCTGAGGTTTGTATGTTTTAATTTATGGAGATTTTTGTCTCCTAATCATTTCACCTCCCCATGAGGAGACATGTCAGGGGGCATGTGATGACTTCCACAGGAAGATTAGGCACATCGGACCAATCAGAATGACACAGTGATTCCCTCGTGTGAATCCACGTGGATCGTCAGTCTATACAAGTGCATCTTAATTGGAGGAATGCTCTGACTCTAGAAACAGCTGAAGCTGATGTGGGAGGGGCATGGGATGAGAGGGGCCGGGAGCTCCATCGTCCTCACACTTGGCTTAAATCTACGGCTGAGCAAAGCCCTGCTTACTGTGGTAGAGGTTGCTGTGTGTTGCCGTTGCTGTTGTCGTCGTTGTTGTTGTTTGCTGTTGTTGCTGTTGTCGGCGTTGTCATTGTCGTCACTGTTCTAAGGTTCCCTGTGTCCAGGTCCACTTGGCTCTGCCATTTCCTCCGGGAGCCATCCCATGCTTTCTGATCCTAGGATTTCAGACCTGCAAACCCACACAGATCTATAGACTCAGATTTCAGCCTGGATCCCCACTGCTGCAGTGGACTTTGGAAGACCTGGTTCCTCTGTTTCTGAGCCGGTCCATCTTCTCAATTGTAGGATCAGGAACTTGGGAGAGTTAGCTCTTTTTGCTTATGAGTAAAGCTTGTTCTTTGACAGCTTCCTTTGGAGCCTAGTGCCGTCCTTTCCCTCTCCTCTCGGCCCCCTCTTGTGCCCACCCCTGCCAGCTGCCCCCTTCCCTTACAGACCTCTTTCGCATAATTACTAGTTTGATCTTGTTTAGTGTCCCATAGAGTTCATCTAGGGTCATCTGTGTAACCCTAAGCTTGGAACTAACTCTAGAGCCCAGCGGGCTCACCAGTATGTCTCAACCGAACACAGTCAGCTTCGGAGCCCGGAATGTTTGAGGGGTTTTTAAAAACATTCTTCTCTATTTTTTGGAATATGGTACTGTAGCACAATTCAGAGAACACATCCCTGCATTTCTCAGCCGCTTAGACAATCCTTTCTGGACCCCCATTTACTCATCTGTGGACGAGAAAACTAAATCAGGATGAAATGACCCGGAAGGCCCCTCGAGTCTATGGGAAATGAATTCAGGCAGAACCAGCTTGTGTTTCAGAGAACCTGGCAGTGTGATTTGGCAACCTCTTCTCAAGGCCCTAAGGATAGAGAGTTCCTGTCATACACCAGTGTTGAGCTTTGACCTGGGTTGTTTGTTGGTTTGGAAGGTGGCTCCTAAGGGCCACAATGATATGATGTAAGCGCTCAGGGATGTGATGATGTAAGCGCTCAGGGATGTGATGATGTAAGCGCTCAGGAATGTGATGATGTAAGCGCTCAGGGATGTGATGATGTAAGCGCTCAGGGATGTGATGATGTAAGCGCTCAGGGATGTGATGATGTAAGCACTCTAGTGACTGGGATCCCTCATCTTTAAAGCTTATGTTGGTTGGGTTCTTTTTTCTTTTTTTTTTCCTGGAGGAAAAAAAATCTTAAAGCTCAGACTCCAACTAAAAAATTGCACACACACACTTGGTCAGGACAGCACTGCACAGCCTGCTTGCTGCTCGTGTGTTCACTCGTTCATCACACAGAGTAGCCTGGGGTGGGGGTGGGGCATCTCTAATGTCTGCAACCCCAGCACTTGAGAGGTGGAAGGAAAAGGTCATCTTCTCTGTCTCAAGGACAGCCTATGTGAGATGTTGCCTCAGAAAGCAAAGATACAAATGTTTCTCGGCCTTTTGGCTAAGATCAAGTGTAGTATCTGTTCTTATCAGTTTAATATCTGATACGTCCTCTACTCGAGGACAATATATTAAATGGATTTTTGGAAGTAGGAGTTGGAATAGGAGCTTGCTCCGTCCACTCCACGCATCGACCTGGTACTGCAGTACCTCCAGGAACGGTGCAGGGAGGAAGAGGGGAGAGGGAGGGAGGAGGAAGGAAGGGAGGGAGGGAAGAAGGGAGGGAAAAAGGGAGGATGGGAGAGAGAGAGATTTCTTGTCAGATATATGGTGTTCTTGTTATGGGGACATGCTCCTAATCTTCTAGCGTTAACTTGTATCCTAAGCCTTTGTTATGAGATTTTATTTTTTAGGGCACACAAGGGGCAGACAGATCTCTGTGAGTTTCAGGCCAGCTGGTTCTGTACCGAGAATTCTGGGCCAGGCAGAGCTAGATAGTGGGACCCTGTTGTGGGTGGGGTGATGTGCAAGCCTGATGACCGGAGTTCATTCTTCATCTCCCAGAGCCCACATAGAGTCTCTGTAACGCCGCCAGGGGTCTCAGGGGCTTGCTGGCCAGTTTCTCTAGCCAAATTGGAAACTCTAGGTTCAGTGAGAGAATCTGTCTCAAAAAATAAGAAAAATTATTAAGGAAGACACCCTTAGGGTGAACCTCTAGCCTCTGCTTGTACATGAGAACACACACACAGAGAGACAGACACACACAGAGAGACAGACAGATACAGACACACAGACACACAGAGACAGACAGACAGATACAGACACACACAAACACAGAGACAGACAGAAGCACACAGAGACACACACAGAGACAGACAGACAGATGCAGACACATAGACACACAGACACACACAGACAGGCATACACACACACACACACAGACACACACACAGATAGACACACTCACACAAAATAAGGTATACACATATATACACACAAAAAGAAAGAAAAGGGAGAAAGGAAGGAGGGAGGGAGGGAAGGAGGGAGGGAGGGAGGGAGGGAGGGAGGGAGGGAGAGAAGGAAGGAGAAAAAGACAATCCTCTGTAAAGGGTAACCTATTGGAGTATCGAGCTGAACCACCCTTTGTGCCTGAAAGCAGTGATGTCAAGGGAAGAAAAGCAGAGCACCTCCTGTGGGATGTGGGATGCAGTGGCCCAGACTAGTGCTCCCCTCCCTCTCCTCTCCCTCCTCCCTTTCCTTTCCAAGGCACCATTTTCTGAAGAGCTTCCCTGGGGAGGGGGGGGGAAATGGCACCGAGTGGGCCGTAAAGAATGAGTCATTCCCTTTCATCCTTGTAAAGAGTGCACAGTTCTCACATCAGCTCATGCTGCCCCCGACCTCTTGAACTGTGAGGGCAAAGGTCAGACAGAACTTGGTGAGCAGACCCCTTCCCCTGTACTCCTGCAGGGGCAGGGCCTCTCATCTATGTCAAGATGATCTCTTTCCAAGAGACAAGATGGACTCGCTTGTAGCATCCTGACCTGAAGCTTGTCCTGTTTTAAACAGTGTTTGGTCCTTAGGTCAGGCTAGCCCTTAGGTCAGACTAACCCCAAATAGTTGGCCCAAAACAAGAGGGCAGATTTCTCTCCCACAAGGAGGGGAAACATAATTTGTTGCTGAATTGTTCTTTTTCCTGGTTTTTCTCCCCCACCCCACCTGGCAAACAGAACTCACCACATGTGAGCTACTTCATTAACGAA